ATATATATATGTATATATGTATATATATCTATATATGTATATATATATATGTATGTATGTATATATATGTATATATATGCATATAAATATATATACATATATATACATATATATACATATATATATATATATATATATAATATATATGTATATATATGATATATATGTATATATATGTATATATATATGATATATATGTATATATATGTATATATATATATATGTATATATATATATGTATATATATATATATATATGTATATATATATATATATGTATATATATATATATATTTTTTTTTTTTTTTTTTTGTTATTCAACTTAGTCAAAAAGTTTCAAAGAAGATATTAGCAATAGTATACAAAATTAGGTTTTTTTCAATAATTTACTTTTGTAGTTGATATGATATCGCTACTAACAAAAAGATCGAACTATTCATAATCAAAGAGTAGATGAGGTTGCTGAAGAGGTGATGAGGTTGCTGCTACTAGAGAGGAGATAAGATGAGATTGCTGCTAATGAAGTTACTGAGGATGTCATTGTCGTTGGCTGTCGGAGAGGATCAAAGGATGCTGTCACTGATAGGAGCACATGTTATACTTGCCATCGTCGTTGGAGGGGTGAGGATCGCATCATTGTTCATCATCGAAGAAGAGAGGACTGCTCATCACCATTGCCTATAATAAGGTTGCACTTGTTCAGTATAGCTCTCATTTTTTTTCGTCTCTCTCGATTTAAATCCAACTCGACCCGTAATTTAATATGATTCACTTCGAATGATTTGACAAGAATTAATTTATCCTGTATCGAGATCGAGATTAGATTGAATCAACCCTTGAGTTGATCGGGTTTGAATCAGGACAACACGATTAATACAAAGGGCCAAATTGATTAGAAATATATTTTTTAAAATTTTAAATAAAACAAGGGAAACATGACGTTTCATTAGGTAAAACCCTAACATTGGGGTATTTTTTTTATCGCATTAAATACCGGTGTTTTTTGTGTAGGGTGACCTTATATTAAATATCTCTTTTATTTAATTGACTCAAAACCAATATAGCTTACCAACGTTAGTTGATTTTAAATACTGACTTTAACGTAGGTTATAATATTTTTGTTGCGAAGATACAAACAAAAATAAAACCCTTTTAATATTGTAATTGGCATAATAATTAGTCGTTTCATCATATGGAATGATTCATATGATTGGCAGAATTTTTTATAAAAAATGTCCTTTCAGGAACATTATGAACACCGTGGAGAAAAAAAGAAAAAATAAACATCAACCAAAAAAATGTAAAATGAGACGCTTTGCCGAAATATGTTCAATTAGAGTTGGCTACTTTGGACACAGTCACGAAATAGTTCAGGTATGAAAGTGGGTACCCGAATTCTATTCGTGTGGATGTTATATAGGATGAAGTTTACGGCTAATTATTATTATTATTATTATTATTATTATTATTATTATTATTATTATTATTATTATTATTATTATTATTTTTATTTTTATAAAAGGTAAGTTGCAAAGGTGGATTCGAACTCCTCACTGTCTATTTGAGAATATATTTATATTTTTTAAATATATATTTGACGAAAAATATTTGAATGAATATATTATTATAGGATGATTTAAGTGTCTTATGAATAATAGATGAAAATTATATTTTAAATACATATTGACATAAGTATTGCTCGGTAAAGTTATATTTCAAAAAGTTCATTTAATATTATGTAATAAATTTATCTTTCTAATATTTTAAATATTTATTAAACAAATAATATATATATATATATATATTTATTTATTTAAATTAATAAACTAAATAAACAAATGTGTGTAATTTATAAAAAAATTCATATGAAATAAAAATTATAATCATATAAATAAATGTATAATAATATTTAAAAATAAATAAATACAATTTCACATTATAGAAGACATAAATAATGCTAGTTTCTCGTTAAATCATATTGACAATCTTATCATGATAAATAATATTTATGAGATATTTTAAAAACTTTAAAAATTATATTGATATCCCATAAATAATGAAATGCTTATGGTAGCATGAGGTAATGCTGATACACTTGTAATACAATATCCAAGTCAAATATGATTTGAAAAAAAAATTTATCGAGCATCATTTAATATTTAAAATATGTATTGGACCTCAATTTACATTTCATAAACGTTCTTTTACCATCTAAACGAACGAGCAGCTTAACTAATTGCGTAATTCATTCATCTGCGATGTTAGATGTTAATATTCCCTAACTCGCATCCTGCTTCCAATCACAAGCCGTGTAGTTTAGTGGGTCGGCAACGAACGAGTGGGAAACAAATACTATTTCTCACGACCGCTGAAACACACATCTCGAAGCATGCGTCCAACGGTCAGCGGAGCTCTAACGTGTCTCTTCTCCAGCAGAAAACCACCTACCGTTTCTGACGGACGGTCCTGATCACTTCGGAGTTCGGACCAAGCCGCCTCTAGGCGCCGTGCGAAAGACGGAATCCAGTAAGCAAAGCCTCCACGACGGTGCAAAGCATACGCACAAAAAGAAGTAGTTACACGTGTTGCGCGACCCAAAGGCCAGATTTTGTTCCCGTCACCGTGCACCACATCCCTTTCACCTATTCGGATCCGGATCCCGTCCACGCCTTGAAAGCACACGACTCTTGATCCGTGATCCCCGGCGCCCATCTGACAAACTGCATCCTTACAAGCCGGTTGGAGCGGATCTCGTTCCCCGACATGCCTCCGATCCCCTCACGGGCGCACTCGCCACGTTCTCGATTTCTTGATCCATCCCTAAACCTACACGACCCGCTTACTCTTCACACCTAATCTCTCGCGTCGCCCGTTCGTTCTTGTCTGGATCCTTTTTCTTGTTCGTGGTCTCTTGCTTCCTCTCCCATTCCTTCGAGGTTTTAGGGTTTGGGGGGCGGGCGAATCGGGGTCGCAGGTTGCGACTTCGAGTTCGATCCTAAGGGTTTTTAATCTGGCTGCGGCCGCGTGATTTTACTGGATCCGTGGGCTACGATTCTTACGTCGCTTGTTGCAGCAGGAGGGCTGTTTCTCCGCCCACGAACCACTGATGGTCCCCAGCTTATGGAAGGTTAGCCCTAATCTTGGTTTTATTCCTCTTTTGCGTTTGTAAGTGAAATCGTGCTCGTTGAATGGGATGCAATTTCTTCTTTCCTATGAATTTGATCTAAACAGTGTTTTTCTAGTGCTGTAATTGATTTAATAATCTACTAATTGGTTTATGAAAATGGTACGCGGTGATAATATGTTAGTTGTAGCTATATTCTTCACTAGTCTTTTTCTGGTAATTGACGGTTTCTTGCAGTTTACGAGAATTTATTTTTTTGCGACTAATATTTTCGTGATGTAATGTGAAGTGCTTGAGACATGCATGCTAAATTTGGGATGTTATGCATTCTTGTGACCTTGTGTTGCATTAAACTCTTAACGTAATGGATTATAATTACTTGTTAGTTCACAGTTTCCGCATACATCACATAAATTACATTTCAAAACAATTTTGTTAAATCTACAGTCCGACCAATTAAAACCCATTCGTCGTACCGCCGACTTTTTAATGCGTGGCCAACTCGATCACTGGTTCAGTTTCACTTTCCAATAATGATCTTCAACTCCATTTCCTAATAGGAACCCGAATTAAAGTTGAATCTGTAACTCTTGTGCTGTCTTTTGCTGTTCTTCTCCTCTTTATTATTTGTACTTCCATTGTAACAGTGGTATTTGGATTTGAAGTCTCATAGAAATCAGTTGGGAAAAAAAGTTGACTTTTTTGCTTTGAAATGGTGGACTCCGGCGGTTGCTGATATCTGGCCTTCTCATTTATTCTCAAGTACTGGATCATTATTCTTTTTGCATGCTAGCATGATCCCCTTTCTCTCTGTCTGAAAAGATTGACTTTATTAATTCATACGATACTTAGTTGTAATTAATTGCTTCTGTGCAGGCATAGTTCTTTTAGCTTAATCCTGACAAGAAATAGTTTTTGTTTATTTAATTTCATTTGATTATATAATTGGTGATTCAACTTTTTAAGCTTTTGGTAACTGTGAGGAGTTTGCTAATAAGTTATAGTTCTATGAGCCTGCTAGGGTATCAGCAACAAGTAGGTTTTTTGGAGTTCAATCACTAGTTAGCTACATCATTGTACTTTTTTAGATGGTGCACAAATTTCAAAGGTCATTAGTGGGTCTAGTGATTCATTCAACAAAAGGCATGTATGGTATATGAAAATTGAAAAATTGTACCTTGGACAAGGGATGCCATTTCATTGCTATTTTAGAATTAAATTGGTCACCAAAGGAACAACGATTTGTTACTTTAAATTTTGAACTAAAATTTGAAATAATCATTTGACTATTGTATATGAATTAGAACTTTGAATATTCCCGTGTTTTTAATAGGCATTTGAGTGCTCGGGTGAGGCGAGGCTCGAGTGCCTCGCATAATGTTCGGGTGACGCGCTTCACTGAAGCGTTGTCTGGGCGCTCACTTGAGCCCAGGTGTCGAGTGCCTCGGGCAAGCGCTCGATTCAATGCCATCGAATTGAACCAAAGAATTAAACCCTAGTGAAAGTGAAACTTGACCTCGAACCTGACCTAGTGAATGTGAAACCCTAGACTCTATCGCTCAACCCACCTTCTTCTGTTGCCTTCATGTACAGCTCCCTCCACCACGGACGGACAGGTCTGAAGCTTCCTCCACCGTTGTTGCTTTTGGGCGCAGCTCCCTTTCCTATCGAGGGATAGGTCTGAAGCTTTCTTTGTTGTTGATGGACACATTTGAACCTTTCTCCGCCCCGATGCTACCATCCGTAGGAAGCTGCAAACTTGCCATTGATGGGCATGTTGATTTTATCTTATATTATGATTCTATTTTTATAATTAGTTGACCTTGCACCAATAGGTCCCTCTAATATATGATAGAATTTAAATTAGCTTTCATAAGAAGTATTGGATGAGATTTTATTTTATAATCATATATATCAATCGTAATATATATTTTTTATATTTTAATATTTTAGTGTGCCTCACTTCGCTCATGCGGGTTCCTAGGTGAGCGCCTAGCACCTCGGGTATTTTGGGATCTTGGTGCCTTTTGAGATACAGCAGAATAAAGGAAGAGAATTGAGAAGCAACTAGCTAATAGTATGTAGCTTTGTTGATTCAATCGAACCAACTAGTTACTGTTCAATCGAGCTAAACTTAATAGTCTGGTTCGATTGCTTTGTTTGTACCGGGTGTTCGCCCGAGGCTCCTAGTGCCTGGGTTCAGACGAGTGCCCAGGCGACGCTTTATTGAAGCACACCACCTGGTGCCTCGCCTCGCCTCACTCAAGCGCCTAGGCGAGCGCTCAAGCACCTATTTAAACCCTTGCTGTAGAACCAAGATGGTGTTGTCTTTATGACATCTTTGCAACTTACATGATCCCTTATATCTCCATACTAGCATATTAATGCTAGAATCCCAAAAAATGGTGCATGTTAGTCTTCTAGCTATTTAGCCATGTATGGGATAGGCAAACTTGTGCATTCTTTTAGATTTATAGTTTTCTTGTCATCATTTACTTTTCTTGATTTGTTCTTATGTCCACCATTCATCTTCTACAACTATTAAGGTCTTCCAACCAGGGTTTTTAATTTCGATTGATACCGCCCATACCAGTCCGCCAGCAGATCGGTACGCGGACCGCCCGCTACCGGGTGGTATCGTCGATTGGGGCTGTTTTCGCCCCGTTACCACCAGAAATCGGTCGGTGACGGTCGATTTCGACCGTCGTTGCCCGTTACCGGGCGGTATTAGCCGAGGGAGAAGAAAGAATGGGGAGAAGAAAAGGGGGAACCTGGAGATCTGGCACCGCTCTCCCTCGACGATCCCAATCCGTTGCTGCCATCCCTCGTCGGACGCCGCAAATGAGATGTCGTCTCCTCCTCGTTTGGGGCGACGAGGCCTTGGCGTCGTCAACGACTTCTCTTAATCCACGCGGGGAGAAGAAGCCTTAGTGTGGCGAGAAGAAATCTTGGCGACATTGCCAAGGCTTCGCAGGGACACATTGGCATCGTCGATGACTTCTAATCTGCGCAGGGAGAAGAAGCCTCGGCGTGGGGAGAAGAAACCTCGGCAACGTCGCCGAGGCTTCGCGGGGAGAAGAAACTTCTCGCGAAGAAACCTCGGCGACGTCGTGGAGGCTTCGAGGTTTTCTTCTCCCCACATCGGGAGAAGAAACGACGCGACGTCGCACCCTTTTTTATTTTTTTAACTTGTATATATATATATATATATATATATATATATATATATATATATATATCTGTGTGTGTGTGTGTGTGCGCGGAGCGGTACGTTAGAGCGTACCGCTCGGTATACTCGTACCATACCGTATCGTACCGAATTGAACTCGATACTTTGGTACGGCACGAAATTATGAACCTTGCTTCTAACCATGAAAGTATGCCCCTTTGTGTGCTCTTAAAATCATTTCACTAAAACCTTATTTTGGCTAAAATGACTAAAAGAAATGGAGATAGATTAAAACCTTGTAAATTCTGCTATATACAAAGCCTCACTGAAGGTGAATAGATGACTTTGGGATCAGAATTGAAATAGGAACTCTGAAAGGTAAAGGAGGATTAAATTGATAAGGGTTCTTTTGAACCTTTAGGAAAAGTGGTTCCATGGATGGGAGGGAAATTTGCCAAAAGATTTAGACCATTAAATATTTAACAATGTAAAAGGAATGATCAAATGATCCATATTGTTATAGTTGATGTAAATGATTTTATGCAGTATATTTTTGGGGTTTGGTGATTAGTATACAAATACAAACTGTTTGAACCTTTAGGAAAAGTGGTTCCATTGGATGGGAGGGAAAATTGCCAAAAGATTTAGACCATTAAATATTTAACAATGTAAAAGGAATGATCAAATGATCCATATTGTTATAGTTGACGTAAACGATTTTATGCACTATATTTTTGGGGTTTGGTGATTAGTATACAAATACAAACTGTTTGAGGGTCTAGTATGCAAATTTGTAAGGTTTTAGGACTAATGTACAGAGGTCCCAAGCACAGTAAGCCGGAACTCAAGTTAGATATTTAGGCTGGTCCATATTTTGTGTCTAAATTGGGCTCTTGGTTACAGACAAATAAACTTATGAAACTTGAGGGGGTGTAACTCTTATTCCTGTTGGGAACCCAAAAAAATCTGCAATTATACATGAACTAAATTACTCTATGATCACCTCCCGGTAATGAATTCTGAAACATAAATGCTAAAATATGTTAAACCAGAAGCTGCATGTTATTTGTTTTTAGTTTTTTATGGGCTTTAAACACTAAACTGTTTGATCATGGTACTCACTATTGAGCATCAACAATTCTGCTACTGTATTATCTTATTTTATATTCTTCACAACGAGAGTTTTGGTATAAAAATAGAGACCCTTGTGCATGCTCTATTGAGCCTTTGACCTTTTTGTTTAAGGCTTGGTAATAGGAGAATTATGGAACTTGACGGGTGTGTGGAACAGAATGTGATAGCAATGATTGTTGTAACATCCAAAACAGCACGAAATGGACGGTACACATTGGTTTGGGAGTGGGACCTCACCCATTTTGGACAGTCTGATCCAATTCAATATAAAAAAAAGACAGCATGAGCCCTCTTATTGCGATGCTGTTGCCACCGCTACCGTTTGATGTCACCGGCATCAGAGAACAGTTTGCCATGTATCTCCCCAGTACACTCCCTCCTCTTCTCTTCCTCTTCTTCCTCCACCTTCATCGCTTCCTCTTCTTCCACCTACTCCATTGCTTCCTCTTCTTCTTCCTCCTCCTCATCCACACTTCCTCTTCTTCATCCTCCATCGTTTCCTCTTCTTTCTCCTCCTCCATCGCTTTCTCTTCTTCCTATTCCTCTACCTCTTCATCCTCTTTCTCTTTTTCTTCATATTCCTTTTTCTTCCTCTCCCATCCTCTTCCTCCACTGTGCCTTCCTCTTCTTTTTCTTCTTCTTCTTCGACTTTGGTACACGGGTATATACTGGTGTTATGTATCGGTCCTACCAGATCACTGAATAGTGTTTGATACCCGAAATGACAGTCTAAATGTGATAGGCCTATGTTGGCATCTTTGTAGCTTTTAACTTGATTGGTGAAGGATCATAAACTGAATCCCACTTGGTTGGATACTGTTACTTTGTATATTTCAAGATTATCCTTCATATTTTTTAGTTGGTTGTTTTTTTGTGATTTTTTCATATCCCTCCAAATTGGAGGAAAAAATAATTCTGTTGTTGATATATATTTGTTTGTCTGGAAAGCTAATCCTGTTAAGTCTTGTGATCACTGTAGATGCCCGATCATGTTTATACTTCAACTTAGAGTTTTCTATCTATCTGTAGTAGATGCAGCACTGTGAACAAATGGATCTGTAGGGTAATATCAATTCTACTTCAATACCCATGAGTAAGTCCAAGGTGCTTCATTTTCCTTTTAACTTGCCATAATGCTGTGAAATGTCGCATGTAGGACTGATGGTAATATTTCTATTTTCTTTGCAGTCTTTCACAAGTTAGAGGATCAGGTAGCCTGTCTTCTTCAAGTTTTGTTGCAGAAGTGACTGCAAATCACACACTTTCTTAGTCTATGGATATCATTGAGATTGATTCCACAGATAGTGAAGATGATTTTGAGATTGGATCTGTATCATCAGAGAAATCCTTTACTGATGGCATTATGGATAAATGGGGACATAATTCACAAGGGATGTCTAATCAGAACAGTGATGCGTCTGCGAAGTTCCCGACTCATTCTAGTGATAATAATGATTGTGGAACATCGATGCCACAATCTACTGCAGGTTCCACATCATTTACTAAAACATCTGGTGCTAGTACGGGAAACCATGTCAGAAGCAATGGGATAGGTGAAGTAAGACTTTCAGATCATGAAAGGCTAGTTGATACTGGAAGAAAGTTAGATGTTATGGACGGACACAATCTTCATGAAAATCTGTACAATGTTGTTCCTAAAAGATCTCTTCCAGCATCTTTTCTTTCATCTGTGAACAGAACTGCACCAAAAGGTTCTTCAGACGTGAAAGACAGAAGTCAGATTTATAATAAAGAAAAAATGCATGCTTCTATAAGACCTGATTATGATGGCATGATGAATGTTGCACTTAAGAGAAATGGTGAGACTGACACAAGTAAAAATGGACATAGGATTTTACCTTCATCTTTTGCTGGAGGAGATGCAGTTGATGCTTTAGCTAAATTTCAACCACCAACGTTTGTGGATGAAAAGTTCCATAACATGCCAAAAGCTTCAGTGGAGAGTAGAGGTGATTGATTCTTGCAAGGGCAGTTTTTCTTTATGTTAGATATGGTGATTTTAAATGCAATACAAACTGATGTACTATGTGTATGATAACATACTTATTTTAAAGTGCAGATGCTTTGCATATTCTTGGAAATGTCATCACAAATAGGATGTTGCCTTCAACATTGTTATATGGAAAATCGGTCAACAATTTGCAGCCGCCTGGCACCAGTGATGGACAAAAGCACTTGGGCCTAGTAGACGATAGGCGCATTGAACATGATGAGAGGCATATATATCAGGAAGCATTGCAGGTAGTTCTTTTCATGTGCTGGTGTATCACTATCACTATACTTGTTGTCTTCTTTTTCTTCCATCGAGAGAGATTTTGTTGGATTTATGATGGAGTTTGACAAGTTTGAAGTATCAAACTGTTCATGTGGAGGGTTTTTTTCCTTGCACACCTGTATTCAAGTATAATCAAACCAATTCTATGGAACACCATGTGACTTAATCCAATATTAGAAAATTCCATGAACAATATCTGCAGTCAATTAAGTGTTTACTTTTGTATTTCTCTTCAATTGATGACATAATTTATATTTGGGTCTAATACTTTATGGACAGTATGTGGATTTATACATTCGAAGATTTGATGAGGATCTTCTTAGAGGGGAAGCCATTGAACTCCCACAGATCCACCTTTTCATGCTTGTTAGCATGTTGAGTTAGTGAAAAATCACTTGTGCGTGGATCCTTAATTAGGCTGTACAGTCTTTTATATTACCTGAGCGATTGTTTTCTTAAGTAAATTTGAAATTTTCTTTAGGCAATTGGGAATTATGAGCTCTCAATGGTTTAAATTAAGTGAAACAGACTGATGTTCAAGAAAATGTTTATATATATTGTTATTTTAATAGATCTTTTGCAAATAAGCATTAAATATGTGAGATCACCATCAATATGCAAAATGAAAAAAAAGCAACAGAACAGAAGCAACATTAAATATGTGAGACCAACTTTATATCTTGAGCAAAAGTTGAATCCTATGTTTCTTTTAACCCTATTTATGACTCTCATTGACAATTCTGGTTTGTAAACAATTTGTAGGGGCATGAAGAACAAAATATTTAGTCCTAACTTTAAATAAGTATGTTTAGACTTTAGACTAAATTGAAGGTCCCCAAGTTAAATTTGAAGTTGATTTTCCTTTAGTTTCTGCATGAGAATATCCTAACCATGCACATTGTCATGTATGACCAATCACTTTCATGTGTCCATCACTGATTTTTGGTTAGCTCTGAAGGCATTTAATCATCATCTGGTCCCAAATCGTAAAACCATTCCTCATTCTTTTCTTCAAATCTGCATTGGTTTTTATACAAATGACTTGTTCTTTCTACCATCACATAAGATTGGTTTGATGCATGTCATTTTCTCATGAGCAACCCCAACTTATTCGTGTGCCACATGCCTGATCCCCATGCAATAAAACCATATGATTTCTCATGTTGACATAGATGCAGATGACACTGTCAGGAACGGGGTCGGCACTAAGAGAAGAGGGGGGGGGTGGGATGAATTAGTGTAGCGGTAAAATTACGTCAGTTAAAAAAACCTTCGTTCGATAAAAACCGATTTCGTCGAAAACCGTTTCGGAGAGAGGTTAACTTGAAGTTAAGAGGTTTGTAGTAAAGTAAATTGCTCAAATATAGAAATGCAAACCAGAGAAGAACACACCGATTTTATAGTGGTTCGGTCATCGTGACCTACATCCACTCCACCGATTCCTCTTCCCTCGAGGCCACCGGCATCCACTATCGATCTTCCTTTAACAGGTGAAGATCAACCTCCTTCTTACACCCCTCTTCTCCTTTTTATAGGTTTAGGAGTCAACCTTTATAAGCACTCACTCCTCTCTTACATAATTCTAACACTTAGACTAGAGGAGGATTCTCACAAGAGATTTCTACAGCGTTTTTATACTTTTAAACTCTCTGTGCTTGTGTCTTTTAACCAGGGATGAGAGGGGTATTTATAGGCTTCAAGTTGATTCAAACTTGGAGCCTAAAAACATCTCATCTCGGGTTTCCCGGGCATGAGCGGTACCACCGCCAGTGTCAGTCTGACACTGGGCGGTACCATCGCCTGGGAGGCTGTGCTGGGCGGTACCATCGCCTAGACTGCCGGTACCACCGCCTGCAGCCTCTCGGAGGCTGTGTCTAGGTGGTGCCACCGCCCAGACCGGCGGTACCACCGCCTGACACAGTCTCGGAGACTGTGCCACGACGGTGTCACCTCTTGGGGCACTGTTTGGGCCTTTTCATTGGGCCTAACATAGCTTTTACATGGGCCCAATTGGCCCATAATTGGGTTTGCCCAAATCCAATTCCAATTAGTGCAGCGGTAAAATTACGTCAGTTAAAAAAACCTTCGTTCGATAAAAATCAATTTCGACGAAAACCGTTTCGGAGAGAGGTTAACTTGAAAGCGTTTTCGTAAAGATAGCTTGAAAGCGTACGGAAGATGCATAGTGGATGTAAAGCAAGTTAAGAGGTTTGCAGTAAAGTAAATTGTTCAAATATAGAAATGCAAACCAGAGAAGAACACACCGATTTTATAGTGGTTCGGTCATCGTGACCTACATCCACTCCACCGATTCCTCTTCCGTCGAGGCCACCGACATCCACTATCGATCTTCCTTTAACAGGCGAAGATCAACCTCGTTCTTACACCCCTCTTCTCCTTTTCATAGGTTTAGGAGTCAACCTTTATATGCACTCACTCCTCTCTTACATAATTCTAACACTTAGACTAGAGGAGGATTCTCACAAGAGATTTCTACAGCGTTTTTATACTTTTAAACTCTCTGTGCTTGTGTCTTTTAACCAGGGATGAGAGGGGTATTTATAGGCTTCAAGTTGATTCAAACTTGGAGCCTAAAAACATCTCATCCCGGGTTTCCCGGGCATGGGCGGTACCATCGCCAGTGTCAGTCTGACACTGGGCGGTACCATCGCCTGGGAGGCTGTGCTGGGCGGTACCATCGCCCAGACTGCCGGTACCATCGCCTGCAGCCTCTCGGAGGCTGTGTCTGGGCGGTGCCACCGCCCAGACCGGCGGTACCACTGCCTGACACAGTCTCGGAGACTGTGCCACGACGATGTCACCTCTGGGGCACTGTTTGGGCCTTTTCATTGGGCCCAACATAGTTTTTACATGGGCCAAATTGGCCCCTAATTGGGTTTGCCCAAATCCAATCCTAATTTCGTGCTTACTATGATTCCTAAGACATTTTCTAAGCTAAACAAGTCCGTAAGTTTAGTTTTTTCTGACGAGCTTCTAATGATCTTCTGGCGAACTTCCGATGATCTCTCGGCAATGTTCCGGCGGAGTCCCGGCAAGCACTTGGACTTCACGACGATCTTCTTGGCGAGTTCCGACGAGCTTCTCTGGCAAGCTCTGAGACTTCTCGGCTGGTTCCGATATAACTTCCGACGAATATCCGGACTTCCGATGAACTCTCGAACTCCCAACGAAATCGCGTCCTTGACTCCATGACTTCATTTTGCTTCATGCCTTGCTATCGTAGATAATCTTGCACATGTAAAACACACTTCGATCTAGACAATTAATACTAAGCATTAATCATGTTGTCCGGCCTGTCATTGGTCCCTCGACGCTTCATCCGATTCTTCGGCGCATTGTCCTCTCTTGCGGCCTATTGCCCAATCGGCCAGTTGACTCTGCAACTCCGATATCCTTGGTGCAATATCCGCTCTTCTCGGCCCGATGCCCGAATCCATGGCTCGAAGCCTTCTGTCGATACGTCGACTAATCCACCGGCTCGACGTCCAATCTTCTGACATGTTTTCCCTCGGCCCAACTTGATTTTTCCTGCTTTAATTGTCTCATCCTGATCGAACCATCCTGCGTCACTCAAAAATATAGATTAAAACATAAACACTTATCAATTGGTTTCATCATCAAAATCCGAGATTCAATAATCTCCCCCTTTTTGATGGTGACAACTAATCGACGACGGAGTTAACCTTAACTCCCGGAGTTTAAACAAACTCCCCCTATCAATATGCCATATTGATATAACCTTGAGTTCAAGCCGAATTCAAGTCATTGCAAATTTCATCATGAATATTTGCAACACGTCATCATGCATAACATGATCATACTTCTCTCCCTCTGTCATCAACAAAAAGGAGAAGTGACAACTATCAAGTATTTGGACATAGAAGTTCAAATCATTGCAATATAATCATGATTTTCAGTTTTATCATCATGCAAGCTAGCAAATTTAGCATTACTTTACAACATGCATAATCACCAAATCATCATTTATTTTAAAGATGTGCAAGATTGCAAATTATGCAAGTTTGCATTTTTGTTTCTTAAGATAGGCAATCTATCAATTTTTTTTGGTGATGTTCAAGACAACAAGCTCTTTCTTCTTTTTTGAAAAGTGTCATTTTTGCTTCCTTTGCAAAGTGCAAGTTAGCATGTTTTGCATCTTGAGCTAGTAATATTTCTCCCCCTTTGTCATTGTCAAAAAGAAGGGAAGAATACAATTTTGTATCTCTTTTTTCCTTTACGTCAATTTCTAAATCATGACAAAGGTATGTAATCATTCTTATTTCAAAATGCCATAATTAACATAATCTTGAATTCAAATCAAAGTAATTTTAATCATGATTCACATCATATGTAATATATCACATACATCATCATAATTAAAAAGCATAAGCATTGTATGCATAATACCAAATCATCATGTATATTTTCAAAATATAAAATCATCATTACATGCATGATTCCAAATTATCATTCATAATTACATCAATATTAGCAACAAATCAT